TCTTTCTTTGTCTTTGTGGTTCCAATTCCAAAGTGAATCAAAATGGGTCACATTCCTTTGCTAAGGGCACTTTCATGGACATGGTTTCTTTTTTTCTAATTATTATTATTAAAAAAAAAAGTTAACTTTCTTTTTGGATAAACTTAAACATTGCTTTTTTCCTCACATGCCCTTTTGTGGATCTCCTTCTCCCTACCTCCCTATTTCCATCAATCACACCACATTTTCATTTTCCCACATCCCCATTTTATGTCACTATTCCATTTCTCTTTATTATTATTAATTCACATCAATTCTCAACTTCATACTCTTGCTATTTTGTAAAATTATCATAAAAATTGGGTATTAATCTTATCATTTTGTTAAATAGTTTCACCGTTAGGCTATCAGTATGAATTAGTGAAAATTATGGTTCGGTGTGAGTTTGGAAAATGAAGAGTTAAGGATGTAATTAATTGCGATCTCTTAGTTATTTCTCTAAATTTTACCCTTTACCTAACCAAGAATAATATTAATTTTTCCACTTTTTTTTCATTGAGTACTATTATGACATGCATTACCTCACCAGAAAGTAACTACGGATGAGGACAAACTATATTGAGTTCCATCCTCTCTATTTTCATAGACAAAATAATCGAGTTGTTTTTTTACAGCTAAGTAAACAATTCAAACGAAAAAAACATCATCATCTCGAGCATGCATAAACAATAACAAAATCATAATGATTAATTAATTTCTTCCATAATTATTACTTTGATTGAGGTTTTAGAGAAGACAATGACAATTGATTAATGAGATAAGAAAAGCCAAAATTTTTGACCCCATGTAGCACATGCACCGAATTTCCAACGCACGTTTGGCCAAATCAAAGTGAGATCTTCTTCCATTTGGTGTCTTTAATTTCACTTATAAAATTGATATTTCTCTTTTTCTTTCTTTTTTCTTTTGTTAAATAATATAATTTTCAAACAGTAAAAACCAAACGACACTTTGAAAAAGTTGGTCTCTATCTATTGCATATATTGTCTTCGTGTCTTGTCTCCCCCAACTTTTTTTTTTTTTTTGCTATGACATGGAAATATGATAAGATGATTATATTTTATTTTTCTTTCCCTCCAAAATTATGCACTAAGAGACAGACTTTTGGAAGATTTTGTTTCTGAGCATCAATGATGTTCTTCCCACATGCATTTTGATTTCCTTTCCTCATAAATCAAACTTCACTTTCCCATTCCATATAAATTAATTTTCTTCATTCATGCATTGTAGTTATGTTGTCTTTCTCCTTCTTCTTCTTTTTTCATTCGTGTTTAATGCAAAAATATATGAAGAGAAAGAATCACGGATCGAGTATTTTAGTTCAAATGTAAGAAAAACATGGAGCATATTTAGTTTTATTGACTTGGAAAAATAAGCACATGGATCATATTACGCTTGTTGAGTACAGTCTTGTAGACTCATAAGTGATATATAAACTTATCCTAACCTACCAACTCAAATATTTAAGTCTAATATAACAATAAACATAATGTTGAATGAATGACGGTTCTTAATCCAATGATCTAAATGAGAGTATTACAATAAACAATCACTTAGAAAATTATATCAATTGTTTTTTTTTTAATTTTTTCCAAAGTCCAAATTATACTCTCGTATTTTTTTTTTGCTTAAACTAATTGATCTCAATCTTGTCGGTTTGATCTAATACTTATAAATATAA